GCGTAATGGTTTACTGTACAAACTGTATGTGCTATTGCCCTACACCTAACCCTACCCCTTACAGGAAACTTTGTGCATTTTTACTTTCTCAAAAAAAACTCACTCTGTATGATTTATAAGCGTTTTGAAAAATGGGGACATGGGGTAGGGGTTGCACCAACTAATCGACTAGTCGACTTCAGTGCTCTGCCATGACGCTTTAAGCCTGACGTCGACTAGTCGCTGGTCCTATAGAGGGTGCAACAGGATAAGAAATCTTTGAAGGACTTCCACATTTACGCTCCGTTTCCAAACAGTTCAAATGACAAATAAATGCATACTCTGAAAGCGCTCCACATTTCTTAATAACTAAATTCCACAGCTTCACTACTAGTAGAGAGACGCTGCCAGGTAGAATTAATTCACACACGCAATCGCTCTCACTAATGCATTCATATTAATGTAATCTTTACTGTGCTACTTTATCTGTATCTGATTTAGAATGAGCAGAAATCTGTGAGAAATACACAGCGACTAGTCGATTTCGACTCGACTTTCATCACGAAAAAGTCGACTTCAAAAAATCAGAAGTCATTCAACCCCTAACATGGGGTAATGTCCTCATAAGTCACCTTCTATTTGTAATACCTATGTCATACCCATGTCATTATACAAATATGTGTCCTCATATGTCACAAAAACGTGCACACAAATACACACACACACACGTCTCTTTGCGGGACCGTGGTGGCCTGCTGCAGCAGCATCTACAACTGAATGGAACAAAAAGTGTTGAACTTGAAAAATGTTTTGTGCGAGTGCACTTGCTAAACGGATTGCAAGGCAGATTGTATAAAATGGATCACACAAAAAACTTTGTTTATTAACGAGCTGCAGTTTTATTGCATCACGTGCTGACAGAGATGCAGTATTATAATGCCATTGGTCATCAATAAGGTGCATACTGAATCTGGTCCTCCAATTTCAGTACATTAAGCCATGATAAGCCGTTTTTAAGCAGAAATCCGAAATTTACTTTAACATATTAGAGGAAGATGCTGATTACTCGACTGAATTTAAGCTTGAAGAATGCGCTTCTTGAAATTGGGAGAATGCACGTTTTAAGCAGCTTATTGTACAGGTAAATTAATCGCCGTTCTAATCTAATGTGCTGCTGCACTGTAACGCACACACAGGCTACAGACAGTAACGTGTACATCACACGCACATAATCATTCAGCGCGGAAAAGTATTGTCAACACTGTTCTGTGATTTCTCAATAAAATAGCTTAGAAACTGAAAAGTTCAAGCATATATTTCTTAATAACTAAATTCCACAGCTTCACTACTAGTAGAGAGACGCTGCCAGGTAGAATGCGAGTGCACTTGCTAAACGGATTGCAAGGCAGATTGTATAAAATGGATCACACAAAAAACTTTGTTTATTAACGAGCTGCAGTTTTATTGCATCACGTGCTGACAGAGATGCAGTATTATAATGCCATTGGTCATCAATAAGGTGCATACTGAATCTGGTCCTCCAATTTCAGTACATTAAGCCATGATAAGCCGTTTTTAAGCAGAAATCCGAAATTTACTTTAACATATTAGAGGAAGATGCTGATTACTCGACTGAATTTAAGCTTGAAGAATGCGCTTCATGATTAACAGCAGTTGACAGTTAAAGTTTTCTATGCACAATTTGATTTGACGAGAGTCACCAGACCGATTACCGTCTCCCTATCCAATCACGTTGATGGACAAAAATTTAATTAAAACAAGCATGTAACTACCACAAACGGAGGGAAAATAGCAGAGTAAAAGTACAGATGCATTACTAAAAATGTACTCGAGTAAAAACACATAATTTTTAAACTACTCAAAAAAGTACAATTTCTGATAAAAAAAACTACTTAATTACAGTCTTCTTGAGTATTTGCAATGTGTTACTTCACACCCCTGCAAAGTAGCAATATGTACAAATATGCTGTAAACTATGCACAATTTGATTTGACGAGAGTCACCAGACCGATTACCGTCTCCCTATCCAATCAAAAATCTAATTAAAACAAGCATGTAACTACCACAAACGGAGGGAAAATAACAGAGTAAAAGTACAGATGCATTACTAAAAATGTACTCGAGTAAAAACACACAATTTTTAAACTAAGAATGATTTCTGAAGGATCATGTGACACTGAAGACCTGAGTAATGTTTCTGAAAATTCAGCTTTGTATCACAGGAATAAATTACATATTCAAATATATTCAAATAGAAAACAGATATTTTAAATTCTGATCATATTTCACACTTTTACAGTTTCTTTTACTAATTTAAATTAAATTGCAGTGGTGAATGGTTTTGTGTAGTTATTAAAATTTTCATTCAATTTTCATTACAAAACTCATGCTTCATATTTTGTTTTATGCTAATTATTTGATAACACTTCACAGTAGTCTAATCTATTAGTTAATCTAATCTATTTGTTAACAAGGTATCGCATTAGCTAACTTTTTATATTAATATTGTTACATTTTTATTTATTCATATGCATTTTTAGCATTTCAAGTTTGAATTAATCTTTTAATATTGAGTAAAATTGAAAATTAACAGTGAACAGTAGTACATTCATAAATGAACATTAATCTACTTTTAATAAAATGTCATACATTTATAAAATACATTTAAAATGTCATACTTCACAAGTGCCCTTAAAAGCAGCATAAGCTAAAGTCAGTGGTAACACTTTACAATAAGGTTTCATTTGTTAACATTAATTAACTATATTAGTTAACCCAAACAACATTTACATAATATTAACTAAGATTAATAAATGCTAAGTTCAAAACTTCCTAATACATGATTAAAACTTGTATCTATTAACATTAGTTAATGTGGTGTGAACTAACATGAACAGTAATATTTTTATTAACTAACATTACCAAAGATGAATAAATTCTGTAAAAACATATTGTTCATTGTTAGTTCATGTTAGTTAATGCATTAACTAATCTTAACAAATGAGACCTTATTTTAAAGTTTTACAAAGTGAGTAAGGTAATTGTATCGCCATTGGAAAACAGGCCAATTATCAGTTTGGTTATGATCAGGACTGTGAGGATTTTCTCCACTTTCACGCTGTAAAGGAGCAGATAACACAACCGATGTGGCTAGTTTTTGCACATCTCTCGGGATCGGCTCCAGACATCGACATGCATTGACTGAGAGAGAGCAAACATAAGTCAAAGTAACTGAACCGCCGTTTCTTCTGTGTCCACTGCTGCCCTTATCAGCTCATTTTTGTCTGGCTGAGAGAATGAACTGTGTGAATAGTGTGGTGAAAGAAAACTGGAGAATAATGGAATCCTCTGTGGTCAATCCTGGGAGAGAGTCGACTATAGATGTAATGAGAGGAGCACATACTCTACGTCTTCAAACTGAGTCACGGTTTCTCACAGAGCAGGATTTGTAAAGGAGATAACTCTATTGTGCCGCTCTCAGGTGGCCGAACGGATCTCACCTAATCAGATGTCTAGACAATTATGGAAATGAAGTGAGAGCCGGACACACAAAGCATGAGAATTGCAGTCGAAGGTCACTTTGTTTCCAAATAATCAAGCAGGGGAATAGTTTGGCTGAGAAGAAATAAGAGCTATTTATTTTGTCTTTTTAGATGTCGTTGCTGTTTCAACACTGAAATTGCATTTTCTGTTTTTTTTTTTTTTGTGTGAACATGTTTATATGCATTTGTGCTCTGATTTAAAATTCGGAGGCTGGCGATGCTGGATCTAGGTATGAATTTATGTCCGATCTCTGTGTAATACTTCAGCACAACGCAATTAAAAAGACCATGTTAAATTATTTGTGCATTACCTAATATTTATGAGCTAAGATTCCATGTCTTTAATTTTAGCAAAGTAACAAAAAGTATTCATGAGCATCCCAAAGTTTTATTTCATGAAGGCAATCTCAGACCCATTTTTTAGAGACTTTCAAGCTCTCTCCCTAACTGAGTGAATTAAAAATTAAAAATTAAAAACGTATCTCTAGTTTTTGTGCACTGTTTCTGATTAGCTTTCTCAAAGAAAATGATGCGTTAGCAAACTCTTTCAGGGTATAAAAAAACTAAATAATTTATCTCTTTAATAATTAATCTTTCTGGACTAGGCAGTTCTCAGTTGGTGGGTTGCAACTCATAAATAGGTCACATTTTTGTACTAAAAAGGTCACAGACAGCTGGGAAAAATAATAAATTGCAACTAACCATGCAGTTATACACCCTACTTGCATAGTTATTTGCATAGTATTTAAAAGATAGGCAAAACAATCATTATTATTTAGTTTTTTATAATTATTATTTTGTTGCTGATGTCAAAGGTAAAACATCCAATGACCTGCAACTTTGTATAAGTAGCCAAATTATGCAGATGACAACATGAACAGGTTACTTGACATCTTCAAAAACCATGAATTAAAACTATGCAAGTTAAATGAAATATTACAGTGAAAATTGTTCATTTCTGTGCAGCTTCAGCTTATGGCATGCTAATATTTTTCACAAATTGTCAAGCCTATTTGTACCTTTATGTGCAGTTTTGGTACTTTTTGTGGTCACTTGATGTCCATTGTACACTTTACAGCCACTACAGAATAAGTATAGCAAGAAACAGAAAAGTTTTGTTGTAAATAAGGTGTTACCCTATAAGTATAACATCTCAAAGTATAATGGAAAACCTTTCCCATATTTGAGCTGGACATAAATCTTCTGGATTTAAAGGTCAGTCGATGAAAGCTTGCTAAAGTGTCTCGGTTCATTGAGTGGCTTTACATGTGTAATGCATTGAGCACAAAAGCTCTAGATCAGCTAAACAGTGTTTACTTAACCTTTAACTTTAAGCTTGTTCCGTGGAATTTCTCAACTTTTTAAGCTGTCATGGACTGAGCAAACACAGGTTCTGTTGCCTAGAAGGTTCTAGAAGATGATTCAACTATTTCTCCATTTCTCCTTTCGCATGTCCAGGTAATCTATGCCCTCAACACCAAGAACGACGAGCACGAAGCGGCCATCCAGACCCTGAAGGAAGCCCACGAGGAGGAGGTGCAGCAGATTCTCTCAGAAACGCGGGAGAAGATCATGCAGTACAAGAGCAAGATCAGTGATGAGATGGACTTGAAGCGGCGCATTCAGTCTCTGGAGGAGTCCATGGAGCTGCACGAGCGGATGAAGCGCCAGGCCCTGGCAGAGTTCGAGACGTACCGTCAGCGGGTGGAGGACATGCAGCTGTGCACGGAGGCACAGCACACGCAGCGCGTGGTCACCATGTCCCGAGAGGTGGAGGAAATGCGACGCTCTTTCGAGGAGAAGCTCCGCTCCTTTGGACAGTTGCAGGCCCAGTTTGAGCAGGAGAAACAGCAGGCTCTTGAGGAGCTACGTGCTGGACATCGGCAGGAGGTGTGTCGAGTGTTTTTTACTTTATTTATGATACATATAAAAATGTATGTCTGTCCTAGGGCTGCATGATTTAGGGACAAAAATCTCATTGCAATTTTTCTGATTTAAAATGCAATTTAAAAAATAAATTGTTATTAAATTATTGTTAGTAATTTAACAATTACTAAATCAAATCAAAATATTACTACTGTAATGTTTCACTGTAAAAAAATAATAATAATAATAATAAAACAATAATACAACTGTAAACTTAGAATTAATAAACTTAAATGTTTGAACTAAATATGTAATACTTTAACATGCAAGCTTAATATTTATGGCTGTCTTAATTTCCTAATTTTTCAATTAAATCAAACTCATATTTTGATGGCAAACCATCAAAGTCAGGCTTGCTGATGTTTTAGGGACTAACCAGTCATTCACACAGCTGAATCTGTGCTCATGCTCATTAAATTCACTGTTGTCTTGAAAATATAGATTTTTGTGCTGAATTTAAGAGGTTGACTAAACACAAATAATTCATATTTTATAGCCATGTGATAAAAAAAATTGTGAAATTAAAAACTCACATTCCTATTTTAGGCCACATATCAGATTTATTAATCTGGATGATTGTAAAGTGACTTTGAGCTTTGAAAAAGCACTATAGAAGTATATTAAGTTAATTTACCTGAAAAAATTCCAAACTTTAATTAAAATAATTATTATTATTATATTTTTGTATTTTTTTCTGAACATAGTTTTACTACCATTTAATATTAATTATATATATACACACACACACACACACACACACACATATATATATATATGTATATGTATGTATGTATGTATGTGTGTGTGTGTGTATACAT